AGAGAGAGAGAGAGAGAGAGAGAGAGAGAGAGAGAGAGAGAGAGCCCAGAAAATTGCTGGAAAGAAGAAGAAAATCATTGAAAAACTGCAGAACATCAAGCAGCGGCAGTTATCCGGATTGATTCCATGAGTCGCGGCCGATCTCTTCCATTTTCCTGCGGACCTTCAGCTGAGATATGCATGTCAGGCGATCGGGCTACACTCTGCTGAGCCAGACTACTGACGAGCAGTCTCACCGGCGGCAACCGTCGAGAAACCCCCCCTCGACCGGCGGAGCAGTGGATGGTCACCTCATCGGCTTCGAATCTGAACTAGGAGGGGAGAATAACTCAGGATCGGGAAAGGAGGCCTTCGATCGGGACGGTATTGGTCAGAGGATGGGTACTGCGGCTTTCCCCGGCTCATTTGGGAGCAGCTTCGGCGGGAGCTCGATGTCGGGGGATTACTACGTGCCTACACTGCCTAACACAGAGGTTCGGTTCAGTGACCCCGGCGATGGTGGCGGTGGGGAGTTGATGGTGAATGCCTTTGGTGTCGGCGGCGAGCGGTCGTCTTCTTTCAAGAGCTGGGCGCAGCAGACGGAGGAGAGCTACCAGCTGCAGCTGGCTCTGGCTCTTCGTCTCTCTTCAGAAGCTACATGTGCTGATGATCCTAATTCGTTGAATCAGGTGTCGGATGAGTCTTCCATACACGGTGCTTCGCCTGGCTCGGGAAAGGCCATTTCTCACCGGTTCTGGGTAATACAGCTCTTACTTGTGTTGTTATATTTGTGGTGGGTTTAGTGTAAGATAAGGGGATTGTGGTGGTAAGTGATGGACATTGCACTACATTGCCTTACAAACACACTCATGCACCCGAATCCCCAGTCAATGCCCCTCAACAAAAGCTCCAATGCCACTCAGGCTAAGCCTGTGTGGTAATAATGTGCAGATGTTTCACATTATTGATTCTTAAAATTCTCGACGCGATGAACATCAGTTTTTTTATCACGTTATGTTTTTACTTGCGTGCTGTATGATTTGAGACATTTCTGTACTTTGGTGCACCTCATCGTGCTGATAGATTTGTGTTTCTTCAGGTAAATGGTTGTCTGTCATACTTTGACAGAATTCCAAATGGGTTTTACTCTATTCATGGAATGGATCCACATATCTGGGCAGTGTGCTCTGATCCTCAGGAAGGTGGACGAATTCCATCAATTGACTCATTAAAGACTGTTGATCCTGCCACCCTCTTCTCGATCGAAGTGATTTCAGTAGATCCTCGAGGTGATTTAAGATTGCAAGAGTTGCAAAACCGCATTCATTCCATATCATCTAGTAGCATCACTACTAAAGAAGTTGTTGACGAGCTTGCTAAGATAGTCTGCAACTATATGGGGTGGGTGAGCAATTGAAAATACTATTTAAGTAGTCAAATAACTCTTTCTTGTCGTGATTATTTCTTATTGTCTTTTCAGGAATGCATCTTCTGATGGGGAGGATGCCTTAATTGCCATTTGGAGAGAGTGCAGCAATGAATTGAAATTTCGATTGAGGTCTATAGTGCTCCCCATAGGCAGTCTGTCTGTTGGTCTATGCAGACATCGTGCATTGCTGTTCAAGGTGAGCACCACATTTCTACAGCTATCGATGATCGTAGAATTTTATATTTATTCTCACAGAGACATTTGTTTGACCTTGATTTACCAAAGAAAACCATTTTGTCTAGGCCCCAGACTATGGCCTAACTTGTGTTGTTCCGTCATACCATAAACTAAATAGGAGACTTCCCTCTCTGTTCTTGTTAAGAGGTTGAAGAATTTTTTTTCCCTTTACAGTTTGGCTATGTTTGGATAACAGAGACTTGCATTTTGATTATTGAAGACAGTGCTCACCTGAGTCAGCCCTGTTCTTTATTATTGTCCGTACATAATGCTGCCTTATGCAGCATAGTGTACATCCTGAATAGTACATGAAGCTGCAGTTTTAATTGAGACTCTCCCTATCTCCCTCTCTTCATTGGGTATCTTATTCTCATGTAACTTGAAATGAAGCTGAACACATCAAATTATTGTTAAAGAGAAAGTTATACAACAAATTCCTGAACACAAATGATGACGGTGAAGATTGTGGGTTGGTAAGTGGTCTGTAAGAAGAATAAATACCGGAGGGAATAAATACCGGAGGGACATAAGAACAGCTGCCAGATCAACTGCAGGGTGTTGCGTCATATGGTACAAAGATGTCATCCTTATAATTGTTAGGTTTAATTGTCGAATTCCCTTTATCAAAATGAATCCAGCTGATTTTCAATGTTTACTTGTGGAATATCTTGGGTTACTTCTGATAAAATACCAGTGTTGACTGTGCCATATGAAGAATAAATGACGATATTCTTGGAAAATACAGTAGGACGAGGGGATGAAGGAGGATAACTGAAGGCAGTGAGTAAATTAATTTAGGTTTCTGTAGCTGTAGGTGGCAGTAATGCTGACCGAAGACTAATCAATGTGCATTGCAGCCTATGTGTATTCCCCTTCCTCCCAGATGGCTGATGTCCTCGCAAACTTTTTAGAACACCATGCTACAGTTTCGGACAGCACTTCGATCTCTGAAGTGTTTCCGAAGAAGTAAAAAACAAAAATAGGTGAACCAGACTTATATCTCTTGGTTGCTTGAAGAACTGCACTTGGTCAGTAGAACATAGTCTCGGCTGAAGTCAGTAAAGAGAAACAAAAACAATTTAGTGCTAAATGATTCTATTGTTTTTGCTCCTCGGCAGTTTTTATGATAAATTTGTTGCTCCCAGTTTTTCCTTTCATTTTTTACAATATTTCTTACCCTTTGTTGGTGTGTGTAACCTTGCTGAGATGCTCCTGCAGGAAACTGATTTACATGTTATTTTCGTAGGTTTTAGCTGACACTATTGGTTTACCTTGTCGAATTGCAAGAGGATGTAAATTCTGCACTCAAGAGTATGCTTCCTCGTGTCTTGTTCGGTTTGACCTTGACAGGTATAATAAAATCTTTAAGGTCAACACTGTACTTCGGACAGATGGAGCTGATGTTTTAAATTGCTAAGACTTAATAACAACAAGTTTTAGATGTATAGCTTGTTGCGACAACAATTTAACCATGTTGCCATGACATCTCTTAGGGAGTATCTTATTGACCTGATTGAGCATCCAGGACGTTTATGTGAACCTGATTCTCTGCCAAATGGTCCATCCACCATCTCAATTTCTTCTCCATTGCGTCTTCCACGACTCAAGTCTCTGGAGCCTACTATTGACTTCAAGTTGTTGGCCAAACAGTATTTCATGGACTTTCAGTCACTTAATCTCATATTTGATGATTCTTTAGCAGGTGATTATCTAACTTTGCAAGTTGCATTTCTAGTATTTCTTTTTTTTCTCTTTCTCTCTCT